CTTATGGGATTCGACCAGCCAAAATCGAGATTTCACCATGGACGTTTTGGACGTGATCAATGGACGTTTTGGGATTTGATGTTTTGGTGGGGATTTTTTGCGGGATTTCAGATAAATCTTGGACCAACACTAAGATGAATAGGATTCTCCAGAAACTGGAGAATTCACAGCAATCTATTGCCATGTCAATGAGGAATATTATCATTCCATCCATCGAATTGTTGGAATTTCACGACCTCACTGGCCGAAGTCTTTCTGTAACTGATGGTCATTCTTGAGGATCTGACAGCATCCATTTCTTTGGGTGACTGCAACAAGATGTTTTGACATTGACAAAGGATCAACCGGAGCAAAACTCCTTCCCGCAAAGGGGGTGATTGGTGTATCGGTGTATCACGCAGTGACCTTTCGGCAACCTGCGCGGACAGTGGTCCTGAGTGGCCACTTTCTCAAATCTCTATACATATGATTCCAGTAGTACCGCACAAGGCGGTGGCGGAAGTTTCAAAAATAGGAAACCTATAGGAGAGCTTGGTTGTTGTGAATCCGGGATGGCAGAGCGAATCCACTGATGGACCGAAAGGTGCTTGAGGTCTCCTCTCTTTCTCTCTCTTTCTTTCTCTCTCTCTCTCTATCTATCAATCAATCAATCAATCTATCTATTTATCTATCTATCTATCTATCTATCTATCTCTAATCTATCTGATCTATCTGATCTATCTGATCTATCTGATCTATCTGATCTATCTGATCTATCTGATCTATCTAATCTATCTGATCTATCTGATCTATCTGATCTATCTGATCTATCTGATCTATCTGATCTATCTGATCTATCTGATCTATCTGATCTATCTGATCTATCTATCGATCTATCGATCTATCGATCTATCGATCTAGCTATCTATCTATCTATCTATCGATCTATCTACCTACCTCCAAAAGTAGTCCGAACCCCTGGTGTTTTTAACATTTTGACTTCGAAATGTGCTTCGCGCCACAACGGCGTGCACTTTTTCGACATCTCAACTTCCAAAAGTGGTCCGAACCCCTAGTGCTTTGTACATTTTGACTTGGAAATGTGCTTCGCGCCACAACGGCGTGCACTTTTTCGACATCTCAACCTCCAAACGTGGTCCGAACCCCTAGTGTTTTGAACATTTTGACTTGGAAATGTGCTTCGCGCCACAACGGCGTGCACTTTTTCGACATCTCAACCTCCAAAAGTGGTCCGAACCCCTAGTGCTTTGTACATTTTGACTTGGAAATGTGCTTCGCGCCACAACGGCGTGCACTTTTTCGACATCTCAACTGCCAAAAGTGGTCCGCACCCGTAGTGTTTTGTACATTTTGACTTGGAAATGTGCTTCGCGCCACAACGGCGTGCACTTTTTCGACATCTCAACTAGTAAAAGTGGTCCGAAGCTGGTGTGTTTTGTACATTTTGACTTGGAAATGTGCTTTGTGCCACAACGGCGTGCAATTTTTCATCTCTCATCTGGCCAGCTGGCTCCGCACCTGCCGCTTTAGCGAGCCTACTTTTCGACCCTTCGGAGCCACAAATCATTGGAAAAACACAGTGTTTCGCGACTTTCCTACCTTTTCGCGCATCTGCATCTTCTTTCTTCTGACTCTTTCTCTTCTACTCTTCTCTCTTCTAATCTTTCTCTTCTCTCTGACCCTTTCCATCTCTGCTTTTCATCTGTCCATATTGTCGGAAGTTTGACTTCTAAACTTCCTTCAAATATATGTACCTCTCTCTCACCCTCTCTCTATATTATATATGCACATATGTATGCAGTGATGCAGTTATACATATCGACACATTTATCTGACTCTCCCTGTCTCTAAAAATAGAACATACACGGTGTGACCATGCTAGGTTTTTGAAGCTGCAAATTCCTGGCAGGTCACTGAAGACCAAGCTGCACAGCGGAAAGCAGCTGGCCGAGAGTGGAATTCGGGATTTGCCGATCATAAACCACGAACCGGGGACTTTCTACGCATCCACCTATCCGTCTCTCCGTCTATCCATCTATCCATGTATCCATCTATCCATCTATCTGTCCATCCATCTATCCATCTATCCATCTATCCATCTGTCCATCTGTCCATTTGTCCATCTGTCCATCTGTCCATCTGTCCATCTGTCCATCTGTCCATCTGTCCATCTATCTACCTATCTGTCTATCTGTCTATCTCTCTATCTATCGATCTATCTATCTATTTATTTATTTATCTATCTATTTATCAATCATTCAATCAATCAATCAGTCAATCTATCTATCTACCTACCTATCTACCTATCTACCTATCTACCTATCTACCTATCTACCTATCTACCTATCTACCTATCTTCCTATCTACCTATCTTCCTATCTACCTACCTATCTATCTGTCTGTCTGTCTATCTATCTATCTGTCTATCTGTCTATCTGTCTCTCTGTCTTTCTGTCTATCTGTCTATCTGTTTTTCTGTCTATCTATCTATCTATCTATC